AGAAGTCGGTGAGGAAGCTACTTGGAGCGAGAGCACGGAGCGTACTTCAGCGAATGCAGAAGTCGGTCATCTCAAACACTTTAAACATTGCCAGAACATTTAAGATAAATACTTAGTTAGGGCGCTATGGACTTCAGTTTTTAGGTTCTTGTTTTTCTCTAGAAATCTAGAAACACAAGCTTGCTGACGTTTTTATTTAGATTTTTAGAACATTAGAGTGTGATATTATTATAAATATGTTTTTTAGTAGAGATAGCGAAGGTTTTACAGAGTATCAGAATTTAATAATATTCTAAATTGGCTTTTTAAGTAGAGAGATTTATATCACTATGTATAAGCTTTTAGTAGAGATAGCGAAGGTTTTACAGAGTATCAGAATTTAATAATATTCTAAATTGGCTTTTTAAGTAGAGAGATTCATATCACTATGTATTTTAGGATTGTATTAGGTTTCGTATCGACCTTTTTTTACTTCTAAGTATAGCTTCTCAAGTGGTGTAGGTTACGCTATGCGCCCTATACTACTCTTAATGTGGACAGCATTCCAAAGTTTCATACTGCGACATAGTAATATAATTTTTTTTAAAGAATTAGGAATTTAGGAATACGAGATTTTATTCTTTTTAACTTGTTTTCTTTTTAATATCAGGGACGGATTTGTAATGACTTAATTTAAAACTCTGGACTGCCTGCAAGAGTTATTGAGCGCATCTGAGCCGCAAGGAATGTAATTGCGAAATCGCTATTGACACAGTGATTGCTATTTTTATGATTTATATAATTCTTAATGTTATATAGTGCTTAATTCTTACTTTAAATACTTCTGTAAATTATGAACATATTTTTTTACAGTTGAATATTTTTTCCTTCCTATAATAATAATAATAATAATGATAATAATAATAATAATAATAATTTTAATAATAATAATAACAATAATAATAATGAGACACTTATAAAGCGCCCCTTCCCCAGGGTCCAAAGGTGCTATTTAAAGTTAGAATTTAAAATTGAGAAATAAAAAGCTACAAAAACTTAAGATAAAATAATTTAAGACCTGACATAAAAACACCACAGTCACGTTATCAATTTAAAAAGGCGCGCCTAAAAAAAATAGTTTTCAACTGTCTTTTAAAAAGTCCAGTGATCCAGCATCCTTAATATGCTGAGGAAGACTGTTCCAAAGAAGCGGCGCAGCAACAGAAAAAGCTCGACGAGCCATAACTGTTTATGTTAAAAGCAGGCGCGACAAGTAGATTTTTTTTTTTGAAGACCTAAGATCCCGTGCCGGAAGGTAACATTGAAGATTGCAGGTAACGACAAGTATTTTCAATTCAATCCGGAGATAAATCGAGAGCCAGTGAAGATTCGCAAGAACAGGTGTAATATGACAGAACTTGGGCGAAAGAGTAACAACACGAGCAGCTGCGTTCTGCACACGTTGGAGCTGTTTAATAACGTTCTTAGGTAAACCATATAGTAACGAATTACAATAGTCAAGCTTTGATGTAACAAGGGCTTGAACAAGAACCTGGGCTGCAAAGGTGAGTTGTTTACGGAGATGATAGAATGCGGATTTGCACATTGCTGTCACCTGAGGAACCATACTCAAAGATTCGTCGAAGAGAACTCCAATGTTTCGCGCTCTTGGTGAAGCCAGCACTCTCTCATCACAAACATAAATATGTGACAAAGGAGGTCGAGCACGGTGTAAAGATGATGTCACAAGAAGTTCAGTTTTGTCTTTATTTAATTTTAGCTTATTCAGAAGCGTCCAGGTGTCAATTTCTAGTACACAGCCTTCCAATCTACACTGATCTTTTCTGATCTAAGGCAATTGCGATATCATAATGGACACGGATTAAGACCGTCTCAGTGCTGTGAAGTTTCCTGAACGCTGATTGATATAAGACATTGAGACCATTGGCATCTAAACAATCAATTTGCTGCTTGGCAACACATTTCTCGACTAATTTAGAGCTCAAAGATTGCTTCTTGAGCAGTGTCATTGTTTGACACTAGCCAGTTTCAAATCAGTAGAAAGTATTCCACATTCCATTGAAAGGTTGATAATCTTAGTTATCATGCACTCAACTGAAAATTCATGATAAAAACAGGAAAAGGGGCTAAATCACGAGACTTTAAATTCATGTCAGGTCTCCGAAGCAAATCGCCGCAGAGTAGCAATTTCCTTTACCTTGTCGGGAACCCTTATTCTTCCCGTAAATAAATAGTGGAATTCTTGGCCCAGCAGAAGCGGTATTGGTTCTGTTCTTTAAATCTCTTCGCTTCGAACAACAGGTTTTGAATAGGGGGTGAGGTGATCGAAGATTTTGACTCTATCGAGAACACTATCAGCATACATACACACATACATATCCTTTATTTAAACACGATATGGTTTAAAGCTCAAAGCTTGTGGGGTCGTGTAAAAATGATTACAAATGGATAAAACTGTATAAAAATCAGAGAATAACATCACTTACAAAATACAGCTACAATTAAAACTCTAAAAATATACAGTAAGATTCTAACCAAAAAGTAAAGACAGAAATAAATTAAAATAAAATAAAAAAAAATTCAAGGTTAAAATGAATTTACATTAGTTACCTCTAAGTAAATGGACTACACCATTTAAAACAAAGAAAATAGTTAAAAGCATTTAAAATCTTGGTAGTGCCTGGGCAGCGCCTGGACCGACTGTGCGCTAAAATCAAGTTCCTTTAAGTAAGACTCCTTCTTCACTTTGCGAAAAAAAACAGTAAACTGGTCTGTAAAATGACTCGAGACAGCTTTCCAAAGAATAGCGCCTCGGAAACTGCGAGTTAAAACGCGGGACGATTATGTTATTACTCCTTCTGAAGTTGTATGCAGTGCAGGGTTTATTTGTCAAGTATGAAAGAGCCGTAGGTGCTTCACCTATAAACACGCTATGGAGTAGTTTAATTAATCGAAGTTTATAATAGAGGGTTAAAGTATTCCAGTTCGAATGTCGGTAAACTTCCTCGGTAGGCATATCTCGGGGCAAGTTGTATATAATTCTGGCTGCCCTACGGTGAAGTACTTCCAGAGAATGTAGAAGCTCTGCATTAGGGCAGCCGCCCCAAACGACTAGTCCATATAGAACTGAGCAGACAAACCGATGTTTGATGGGTTGACCTGAGAGGCACTTTGTCGAGTTTCCATGACACTTGCTTTTGGGAGGCGTCTCACGAATTTGCAGATGATGGGTTTGAGGGCGCCATTTTGCGGCCTCGAGGGGGGGCGATGAGTAATGTCCGACAGAAACACTTCTGCCCCCAACTCATGGAATAATTTTACGCACAGGGCGCTTGTTTCAGCGGCGGTTTCACTGTTTTTCTGTGCCAGGCCAATTATTTAGTTGGTAGCTCTATTCCTAAACCTCGTCAATGGGGCTGCCAACACGTGTAACTTCAGCGTTACGCTGATTAACGACATCAGAATTAGAGGCCGACAGGTCGTCGTATTCGTCGCTCCGACATTGTAGACTACGAGACAAGGTTTCATCATTCGAAGCATTATGGCTGCTATTTCCAGAGGTAGCGGTTACTTCGGCACCAGAGGTAATGGCCCAGTCGATAAGAACCTACTCTTTCAGCTGTGCTATTTCTTTCGAAAGAGCGTCGACTTTGTCCTTTATATCTTGATTTTGTTGCTTCACACAGTGAAAAAAGCTGAGTAAACTGAACTCAAAATACTGAGTAAATCGTTGCATCCATAGTGACCCATTATAGTGAGTAAACTTAAGCAGAAATACTGAGTAAAGGTTACTCACTAGCATGAGTAAGTTTACTCAGAATGAGTAACTTTACTCACAAGTTTGAGTTGAAAATACTCAGTTATCGAGTACAAATAACTCAAAAGTAGAGGTAAAATTACTCTTTATTTTGAGCAAAACAGCCAATTACTCATAATTTGAGTAAAGGCTACTCTAAATTTTGAGTTAAGTCAAATTTTACTCTGTTAATGAGTTAAAACAATACCTAAATAATCGAGTAAAGAAAATGATCATATTTACACAATATTTTGAGTAAAAGTGAGCTTCCCTGTTAGCAATGGCAGATCCTTATGCCTGCCTGGAAAAGTTTCAAACGTTTTTTGTAATACACAGTCTGGCAAGGACCCGTGGGTTTAACTTAGTCTAGACTGTACATACTTACTGATTTGAGAACGGCAACTATAGTACGCAGTTAATGCCAAACAATAAGCAAATTATCTTTCAGTGTTTCTTTACATTTTTTATTATCCCATTCAGGCTTTAACATCTTCAGGTAGTGGTGACATTTTTCCATATCAGGCAGAGTTTGGAAGACAGCATGACAATTTATTAATTACATGCCCATTCAATATTTAGACTTGCAGACTGGGTGCTCTCAACTAACCAAAGAAAAATGAAAATGTCATAACATGGCTGCAAAAGATTATATTTTCAAAAGAACATTTATCCAAGTAACTCATCATTTAATAAATTTGACGCATCCCTGAGCTGTGATAGTGGACACAACAATGTCTAAGAATGTGATCGTAAATCTTGGTTGAAAAAGAGGTACATCCAAGAGTCGTGACCAGTATCCTCGGTGGACAGAACGCTTTTTCTTAAAATTTCTGTATTGAATGAACATTTCAACTGAAATTCTAGAAATTGTTTCATTGAATGTACCCTTTGCCATAGATAAAAATTCAGTTCACGCTTTAATACATTAACAGTCCATTCAATTGGTGCAGCTGTGTTCAACTTGGATGATATGTTTCCCTCAAATTTGCAAGTTGAAGTACAAATGGGGTTCTTCTGCAGACTCCTGATGCACCACCTTAAAATCAGGACAGGAAGGGCAATCTCTCTTCTTCTGCTATGCCCTAGTTTAAAGGTGTTTGTTTCTGCCTATGAACAAAAGAAAGGAATATTAATAAATAAGTTGAAAGGTAAATAGTACAACAGGGAGCCCACACAATCTCGCAGTGTGCATAACCGATTGTTA